GAAGCACCGGCATATAATGGCCAGCAGCGGTTGGACGTGAACTGACCGAATCAGAGGGAGGGCCATCGGGCCCTTGTGAACTGGACGATAACGGCTCCTCGCTTGATAACGACACCCGCGCAATTTGGATCAATTTCCCCAGAATGGCATATTCCAACTTGAATTTGACACTGTATGCAACCGGCTTGAACATCACTTGCAGGGCATAGAGACCCGCATACTCGATCCCCACGACGGCTACATCGAGGATTAAAATAATAATATTGATGCCCAGTAGCTGGGTCAGTATCGTATAGTGAAGTCGGTCTGGTCGAAGCCGTAGCAATTTCGATGTTTCCCAGATATAGATGGAGGAGATGACGCATTCTTGAACAGCGAAGCCAATGAGCTGAATGTGTTCCATCACTCTGTATCCATTTGCAAACCGAGCTCCGTTAGGACCGAGGGAGCCGTACAAGAGAACAGTTGTAGGAACGTGAAATGCAACGGCATCGATGAGAATCATAATGAGAAGGAACCTGAGGAGCTTACGTGCCTGCACAACAAGATGAAGACGCGACCATAAAATGAGTGAATGACCTGTTACCATGCAGTACCAGCTTATGATAATCAATGTGACGGAAACATAGGCGTTAATTCCAAGTGGATAGATAAAAAAAATGAACCCCAGGCCGTGTGGAATAAGGCTACAGGATGCAATGAACAAGCTCCAGAAATACCAGCCCGTGTATCGCTTGAAGGTTGTGAGACACAGTGCAATTAGCTCGATCGAACTGTAAAACACAATAGCTGCAAAGCTTGCAATGACGTATTTTTGTGGCTGGTCCAGTTCGTGGCCAGTGTACTGGGTGACTGGGCTCTGGGCGGAAGACATGGGAAGGACATGATTATGAAAGCGACAAGGACCTTTCAGAATCCATATATTCTAATGAACACAAGAGATGTAGGTGAAACGAAGGATTTAGTGTTGTTGGGAAGATGTCAGGAGACAGACCGATCGTAGGCGTAGAGGAACGGTGTCCGAGGACATACGTCTATAAATCTACGGGCATACGCACTACACGTTCATATTTTTATGTCCAACCAAACGCTAGACCTACGCACCGCATCGCTCGATATACTAAGTTAGTAAAGGTGGGTGGGAAGAGGGCTTGAGCGGGTAACCTCTAGCGACGTTGCCCAACTTTGTTGTTGAACTTAGGGTTCATCCCACATTCTGGGTCTCCCCATCGCTCGTGTTGTGTGGAACCAACCCAATCCTTCTGACGTCAAGACCACATTTAGAATTTTAACATTTACTGGGATATCCATTCTTCCGAGACCAGCCTGCAAGACCAAAACCATGGACTGTGCTGCCAAGGCCGATGAATTCGGGTTATGCACACTTGATATAACCATACAGTAACCATTTGGCCACTTGAGAATCGACTCCAGTTAGCGACACCTCTTGCACAGTAAGTTAATTTTCTCACTGCCAAGGGTTGAGTATTTGAGGAGGTGCGCAAAAGACACTTCTATTACTATGACATGACCTTGTACCCATACTCGCTACATCTAAAGGAATGTCCTACCTTAAATTATTTGAAGAGCTTAGGGAATTACCGCATACAGGTTCCCAGCCCAATGCCTCGCTTGCGCACTTTGCTGATTACTGGCTTTTGGAAGTTCGGGAACTGTACACAAGACTTCCAAGGCCAAACAAAGCCAGGGCGATGGTGCTATTGTGACTGGAGAGTGCGATTTCTGACTATCCTTGGGCCAATGGGGTCTATGATTATCCTGATAGCCGCGTCTAACTACTGTTCATAGAGTAACAGCAAATAATCCCTACGGAGACAGGAGGCCGATGCTATTAGATTTGGCCGGTGGCCAGTGTTGTTCCCATCCGTGCTTGATCCCAGTATCTAGGATGCGGAACCCATGTTGCTCCATCGCATGATGGTTTGTAGCTCCCCGCAGATCAAGAAGCACCTTCGGCTCCATCATAGAGCTGCTGATATGCTGCCATGGAATCCTGCAGTCGGCAAGCTCATCACAATTGGTGTGGATAACTAGAGCATGGCATCCCCGACAGGCGTCTTCAATGTCGGCAACCACCATCTCCGACGTTGCAGAACCCAATATGCATTCGATCTGATCAAACCTTAAACGGGGGTCGTAGGGGTGAAAATTTGCACCAAACCGGCGGAGACCTTGAGGGAGACTAGTAGCCGTAGAGGTCCGCGTATCTAATGTATCTTTTTTGAAGGTTCATCCAAGGACAGCTACTTGCCCGCGGCCATTAAACTCCTGATGTTTGGGGTGGAAAGGAGATGAGGCGGTTGAGGACCCGCCCATTCTACCAGACATTGACACGGACCACAGCCTTCCAATAGTCAGCCACCTCGGAATGACCTAATTCCTGCGCCAGGGAAACCAAGCAACAGACGTCTTTATAGAGGCAAGACCCACCGAACCCGAACACAGCCCGAAGTGACAAGGGGCCCATGCGAGGCTCAGACCGGACAACCCTAGAAACATCATGTATATTTGCGCCCCTCGACTCACATTTCGCACTCGGTGAGTTGATATTGCTAATACGCTATGCGATGAATGCGTTGCTTGCGATTTTGGATAGCTCATGTGACCACAAATTTGCGGTGATGATACAGTCCGTTGGCATCCACTTGTACAGAGACTTAATTGCATCCACCGCACTGGTTGACTTGGTGGCGTCTTCTATGACAACACGGTTGGGAAAACGACGCCGTCGCAGGTATTTTATTTATGAGCCATTACATGAACAGGCATTACTCCAACTATCAATCCTCAGTGGGGAACGGCTAATGTATACGTACCACCTGCTTTACACCAACCATGCCGCACGGAACTGTGCTTTTAATGACCACGGTTTGCGAGGGTGTAGATACTGCCGTTATTTTTCTAGCCACGGCGTTAATATTAGTGAGGTCTAGACCATCCCAACCCTTGTCGAGGTTCAAGGACCCCTAGCGAATTATCTTGTCACTCCATTGCATAAAGCTACCTTAACGCTATGTTAACTCAGAGATACTCACATGAAGGGGTGTATTGACGCAAATGGAAATCATGTCTACTGCTATGATACGTTCGTCCATCGCGGTGGAAAAAGCAATATTCTGCAGTCTCCTTCGGGGACACTGACCGTCTTCATGGACTTTTTGCTCCAGTTCATCGAAAAAGATCTCGTCCAATCCAGGAAGTGGGAGATGATTCGAGTTCCAAGAGTTGATTACACCTTCATCCTTATCAACAACGGTGCATTTGACATCTGAGTTCTTCAAGGCAAGAACAATTGCAGCGAGAGCACCTGAAATATTATTGCGTTAGCAGCCTTTGCCCGGCGAAGTCCCAATCCTAGAGGAATCTAGTATTGACCCACGGATCTAGCACTGACAAAGCAAACTTGAGTAACACTGATCCCCATCATTTGCCTCTGTGGCTCCAGGCCTTGTGCGACGCTTGAGTGGGCACTGGCCTTGGCTGCCCCCTGAACGTCTTAGGAGCTAGCCTGGCTGCTCGGCCACCACCGGCCAACGCAGAAACCCACTGCAGCCATTAGGAGTGGAAGGATTGGAGATGTTATGTTATGATGGAGGGTCTGGGTATCTCACCGCCTCAATATTGACACGTCTATGGAGATCAGGGAGAGGGTCAGGAGAAAGGTGATGTTGTTCTGTATGGTCTATGGCTTGGGACGTGCACGACCCTTACGCCAGTATTTTAAACCATCCGCCATGCACGTTTACCACCTTCCTTTTACTCCTCCTGTCGGATGCCTCCCCTCTCAAACTCAATACTGAGATTGGCAGCTGACCTTCACTATTGATCGACTTCTGCATGATAATAGTTACATTTACACTGGATTTGATACCATGATAGGACACTTGACACATTCTATCTAGCCCAATTGGTGTCAACTATGCAATCTGACGTTCGCCATAGGACCCTCGTCGTTTCCACACTGCTCGGGTCGAGTAGAGATAAAATATCCTTCCGATGTTCTTGTCCTATTCACTTGGCATCGCCAAAGACGATTACTTCCCGGGTCGGAGTCAAACTCCGTTGATAATCATTGGGCAATTTCTATCTTTTCCTTAGCTTGTCTCAGGCGAATTACCCCGCAACGGCTGCCTTCGAGATATATGATTTCGGCCATCTTGCGCGTCTTGTATGTATATTTTCAAATACAATCATTGAACGACCATTATGGTCCAGTGTCACATATGTAGGCTACTAAATATTCTTAGGGCATTTGTCACCTCTGCAGCCTCTCCGGAATTAGGGTTAGTCTTATGCCCGTGCCAACCATTCCCCACGAGGCCCACACACGATACGTACATATCATGCTAATTCTGTGGCGTTCGCCACGGAATGCACCGGGAAGCTCCCCGTTCCATAGACCTGACTACTTTGTATTTAGAGCACGCAAAGTCTGGTGAGCCTGATAGGCCGAAGGTCCAGGCCCTTCGCTGAAGTTTATTGCCGAAACTTATGTGACGTTGTCTTGGCCCATGGTGCAAGATGGATTGAATGCCAGGCATTACAACTAACCTTCTAGCCCTAAGCCTTGTTTTTCGAGTCCATACATACCGGACGATCAATCACATTTCCCCCTCTGCTTCACATTACCCCGCTAGCATACAATACCAACTCTTTGAACTCTCAAGCGATTTTGGTATTCCACATTGCCTTTCCGTTTTGAGGTCTATTTGGTGTGTCCCGAGTCTTCACAGCAAGGAATTGAGCGGGAAGATATCGATAACTGGTACCCCTTACAATGTTACATTTCCTCTATAAGTTCAACAAATACACAAGGTATCCTTCCGCTACTATTACTTTCCATGCTAATGGCCCATCCAGTCTTGTCCGGTTCATCCGGTTCCTCTAGATTGTTGTGTTCTACTACGGGTTCTATCGCATGCGATTGATCGCGAAACGGAATCCCATGGCATCTTCCTAATCATCCTTTTCCCCTTCCAATGTCACTATCGTATGCCTATTTGTTGACCCAGATGGTGATTTTCATCCCAGCTATAGAGTCCTGGTTGCGCGCAGACCCTCATGAAGTCCTAATAGTCACGACAATTGAATGGTATGAACGCATCAAAGCAAGCCTGGAGACGGTTGACGACCCAAGAGTCATAGTTCATGCAATTGAGGTGAAGAGCAAACGACCAGGTCTAATAGCAGGTATTCAACGCACGACCACTGATCATGTTGTTCTTCTCGACGATGACTCAATTTGGTCACTCGCTACTCTCCAAGGCTTACTATGTGGATTATCCGCGGGGCCAAGAGTAGCCGGTGTTAGCAATATCAAGGTTAATATTCGAATGACGCTGCCAGCACTAGCTCCAGACGCACCGAGCATGTTCGAGGCCATGGGTGCCGGGAGGCACGACAGACGTGCAGCCACAAATACAGCGATGGCTTACTTCTGCGATAGCCAGATTACGTGTTATACGAGTGAGACAACTGCGTATCGCACTGAGGCTCTACAACGCCCAGGGTTTGTGGAGCACGTTGTCGAGGATTACTGGAAGGGAAAATGTAAACTGTCAAGCGGAGATGACGGGGCCATCACGCGCCTGTATCAAAACGGTCGGAAGACAGGCATTGTAGTACATGATGAATGTGCAATTGAACCGAAATCAAAGGAAAACACTGATTATCTCAAGCAGATACTACAGTGGTCTCGCAGTGAGGTCAGGCAGCTCGTGCGAGACCCCTACTTGCTTCTACCCTCACACAGACGCCACTGAAGAAGGTGCGGCTCATTGCGTTTGTTTATCTGCTTTCTTGGAGGAACATCTAGTGTTTCTAGACCTTATGATAACAAGCACAATTATAATTTGTCGGACTCCTTTTGGTGCCATGGTGTCGACTGCTGGTATTCCTAGTGACTGGCAGCTGTCGCTACAGTATCTTGGACCGTCCGCCTTTCTGGAGCTTGTTTTCAACCTTTAGCATTTCATGACATTCCCAGAAATGCTGAGGTATCTGCTTGTCTATGCAATATGGGGCCAGGTTCGGATGGTAGTGAGTCTGTATGCCTTGTTGGCTTTAGACCAGGTGAGTCATCAGTCACAAGTAGAGAAAACCAGCGAGAGGCCACTAATGAGATTAGCATTATATAGTCGAGTTGGCTTACTCGAACCGGAGCAGCTTGACCAAGCCCTCCCCTCCTTATCTTTTATTTTTTTAGTCGCCAGAGGATATACCTCTGTAGTTTGACTTTACTGTAGCAAGTGCTATGACAACCATGTAGAAAGGAGGCTGAACAATGACTCCTACGGCAAGCATGTTCGGGAGAACATGAAGGAAAGTCACAGCTCACAGAGCTTCGTCGAGGTCTTCTGTGGGGCTAGAAGAAGGGATCAGTGCGACTGAGCCCTATTCGGGTTTGCTTAACGTGTAAGCAACGAGGAAATCAGCATGCTTCCAGTCTTTCGAATAGCCTGAATTATAGGTCACGCTTGTTAGTCTTTCTCAGATCCATGGCATTGCCATTTGGTAAGAGTCTTGTCTATACAGAAAGATGTAACGTGTTGTCAACTGTAGAAAGAAACTGTTGAGAACCCCGGAAAATATATGTATTCACGAGCTGTATAAGGAAGAAACTAAGAACTAGTAACTTCAACAGATTTCCCGGTCCCAAACAAAATATTTTCTACTCGTCCCCCCCGGTCCGATACAGTATACCATCCAGAAAAGCTATCACTACCCTGGAAGCACGGGGTCAAGTCACCGCAGTTGTGCCTCTTTCCCTAGGCTTCTTTAACTGCAAAATGCCACGCCCGGATTGCGCACACTAACGACACAAGAACCAAGATATAAACACTGCTATCATCAGCACACATGACAGACTATCAAGTTGGAGTTGGTATCTTACCGGGGAGTCGACATGGCAGTCCGCCTTACGTTCCTTGTTTTCACCTGGCATGGTTACAGTGCATTTATTTTGCTTGCAGGTCTTTGATTTGTTGGTTAGTTAAATGACTCGTCACTATTCTGTAAAGTGAAGACTTACACCATGGATCCATTTGTCATCTTGGGCGCTGTCAGCTGAAGGTGAACGGGAATTACCCTGACTGCCCGGAGAAGAAACCTCTGCAGCACTATCGCGGTGGGCTTCCATGGAATCAGGAGTGCCGCGTTGGGGTGAAGCTCTCTTAACCAAAGCTTTCAACGCCCCGTCACTGCCTGGAGCCGTAATGGCAGAGGCTGGACTAACATGTTCGAACTTCTCATGAGCATGATCATCTGTGCAGTTATGATCTGACTTGTTGGAAGTCACTGTTCCACCGGCACCTGCTGGCATGGCATCGTCGGTCCCCGACATCGGATCGGTAGTGGCCGCATTAGCAACTTCGAACTCCTCATGGCCATGGGCATCTGTGCAGTTATGGTCCAATTTGTGGGAAACCATGGTTGTACCAGCAACTGCCGCCATGGCACCGTCGGTCTGAGAAATCTCATCGTCAGTGCTTGGATCGGCATCTTGGGTTTCCTTTTGACCATGAGCATGTGTGTATGTATGATCCGACTTATCGGAAGTCAAGGTTGCACTGGGACCTGACGGCATGGCATCGTCGGTCCGAGAAACCGCATCGACAGTGGTTGCATCTTGGATGCCGTCGACAGGAATCGCACCTGCAGGTCCCACAGACAGGAAGGCAACCGCGAGGAGGGAGATAACAGTGAGCTTCATGTTGAGATAGTCGGGAAGATAGATGTGGCTAGCACAGAAATGAAATGGTAAAGCAATAGACTAATGAATGAATACTGTTGGGGTGACTTAGAATAGCAGAATTGCGAGCCGGCCGCAGATATCTGGATTAGAAGAATTGAATGATTAAATGAAAGAGTGAGTTGAACTGGCAAACAAAGTGATCGATGGTGGAAGATGTGATCAATTATATACCTGACATGCCAAGATATTATCTCATAAAAACCACTAGCATTCCACTATGTCTTTTCCTTTCAACCCTTGTATAGACTTTTTGCGAGCTATGACATGTCTATGACAGAAGCCACCAAGCACTGATCGACATATATGTCGCCCAACGCCCGGCTAGACACCAGACTTTGTTCCACTGCGTCGGACAGGAAGCGCCTTTATTGGGACAGACATGGTTGGAGAGTGAGAGGAGATACAGAGCCATTTTGAAGTACATCTTACATTCAGCCCCGGTATGTATGAATGTGCATTAATATGAGCGTCAGTCTACAGAGCCTCAGCCTAGGACGCACTTCATTCCTACACCTGATTTAGTGATTTCTGGCAGAGACAGTGCCCCAAACTTACCCTCGTCCTCCCCACCTTACAAAGGTCGGCCTACGGTCGTTATAACATAAGGAATCTAGAACGTACCACTGGATAAATAATCATTTGGCTAAAGACGGATACCTTCGTGTGACAACTCAGGATAAGCGGCTTGAGGCCCAAGTCAGGTTTTGCTTCCCGATACCTGTCTAATTGAACGGTATAGGAGACAGAAGACGAGTTTCAGGGAGACATTTGGTGAACAAAGGAAGGCCTTTCGGCGGCTACTGATGAGCCATAGGAGGACTGAGCGTTTAAACGGTCGGACTCTCTGGAGATCGCCACGACCCCCGACTTTCTCTCTAGACACTACGCGCTTAGTTTATGATCCGGCCTTTCGTTGTCACCACAGAGGCTTTCTCAAATGGTGCCTAATGAATTTTACGCTTTTGGGGCAAAGGTCTCCAAAGGCTTGGAATGCCCTGTACAACCATATGGATGCTGGAACCGTTCCGTTAAACTCTGGTAGTACAAGGAGGAATAGATTCTTGGCAGGTTGGGCCTTAGTATATTCACTCCATAGGCTTCTGGCCACAGTTTAACGAGAGGTTTCCATCCAGAGTACAGTACCTACTTTAGTGATGTGCTGCCAGTAAGCGCGCCTATAAAACAGCATACATGAATTTGGTGATACGACAGGTCGCAGAGACTCCGGGCTCAGCTTTCACGATAGGTGGACGATGTCAGGATCCAATGTGTTGAGTTGGCTTGAGTATCTTTGTACTGAAGTAGTTTATGCAAATGATCTAGAAGCTGTGTGGTTGCGCAACATGCCATTGGCCCTGGGTTATAGTTATGATGGCAACTTACAATCGATAATGGCTTGGATTGGTGAAAAGAATGAACAGAGAAGTGCTAGGGGAGTGGGCTAGCCGTTTCATAATATCTTTCTGACACAACACATGTGTGAGGAACCAATACCACATCTCTATCACTGCTATATGGATCGACATGTCACAGTCCGCTAGAGTCGCTGTCAAAAACAAAAGTAAATCAAAACCTTCATGAGATAGGCATGCTAGCCAAGTTCTATGGAACACCATTTACTGGCAGGGTCTTTCAGAGTTTGAACTAAGCGCTGAATGTATTGCATGGTCGGGAGAACAGAGCTATATCTGTCTGGGGCTCGAAACGCTAGTGCGCCCCGTACGACTTGTTGACGCGGCCGAATATACTTCATATCCTGCCAAGGCGCTGACCAAAAGGACCGCTGTGCGCAATGATTCTCTCATTATACCATAATACAACCGATGACTGATATTACTCCTGTAGGGCCCTTCGGCTGCACAGGCTGAAACTCAACCAGGCTTTCCTCGAAGCACGAAAATATTTGGCCTGTACTCGGGCGATGGCTCATTATGCCTTATGTATCAGACTTCGAGCCTCCACCGCTTTAACTGTACGTGTTCGGGCCAACCACGCCCAATGCTACGCTTCAGTCCAAGAGCAATCGAGCGAAAGTTCTGCAGTGACCGTACAAACTTCCTATTCAAGGACTGCTTCAACAACCACACCCATCCTTGGCAAGCAACCACAAGCGTCGTTACTCACGAGCACGCAGTTCCAAGCGGTCTGTAGGAAGGCTTCTGCATAAGTCCGATCTGCTTCATTGTTCATATCCTGCGAGGGATATCCCGTTATCATTAGGAGGTTGTCTGGATTCTCGACATTCCAAAAGAAGGCCTGCATGGGCGATAATTCGGGATTGGAGTCGGGGTTAGTGTAAGAGGAGCAGTGGGTGAGGATCTGTGAGAGCAGGTCAGTGAACTCGCCCGAGTCAATGCCATCTTTGTTTTTCAGTGTGCTGAGCCATATTTTGGTGATGGGTGGCATTGTCGCTTGCGTCGATTCCCACGAATAACGCTGTCTGTCCCAAGCAGAAATAGGCAACGTGTACTCTGTACAAGGAATGAATTTCAATTTAAATCAGCCTCGTCTAGACGTGGGGGCATAAAAGTGGAGCACTTCTTCCACCATTTTTTCAAAATGCTACAGCTCTGGGCCTGTATCTATCCAGACATAACATGACACACCTATACAGATTCTAATCGCGGAAAGAAATCAGAGCCTCGACCTATTCAATCTATGTCAACTCCAATGGCTTCCTATATAAAAACTGGAACATCTCCCATCTCCCTAGTACTACACCTCTTGCATCCCTCTGGCCAACAGCGCCCAAAGGTATACCGCCAGTTATACCACGTATACTGGAATGGGGGACTATAGCATGCTATCTAGGGCTTTCTTGTCTCTGTAGGAGGGGCTGACTGGTTCAGAAAACATTTCAAAAACCAAGGTTTAAATATCTGCACGCTATTATATCCGATAAAATATTCAATGTTCCTGAGGACTACATACTTAGATAGGTATCTCAAACATACTATATTCGACACACCACATACGGTAGGCTCTGTCATGGCTTGACAGCAACACATCTAAGACTAGCGTATGTGATCCATTGACTCCCATTCTCTCTCGTAGTGCCAAAGCGCAGCATACGGCACATTTTCTTGATCACACTGTTCTTCTCCTCCTGGGTATCTAAAATGTCTAGCATCTGAGCGCCGATCAGCCTCAGGAATCCCTCCAGTCCACCATTTTCATTGGTCGTCAGCTCTAGCGGTTGCGGATTTAATGCAATCATCTTAACCTGAAACCCAACACTCTCGAGAGCTTCCTTCATATAAACATCTGAAGGATAGAACAAGGCCCACACTTCCTCTACCGTTTCAATGGGGACTCCCTGATCCACAAGAGCGAACATAAATGCTGTCGTCATTTCTGGTGCATTTCCATGTCCACACATCTCAAAGAAGAATGTTCCTCCAGACTTCATTGACTGGAAGATATTTTTTAATGTGGACATACGGGTGGTTGGATCCTTTAATATCCAATGTAAGGCAGCATTCGAGGTGCTGTGCGAGTTTTAAAAAGAGAGCACTCCAAGGATGGATTCTGAGACTTACACTTTGTCCCAGTTTCCCTGCATAACTTCTGCGTTCTCTTCCAGATGCCGGCAATCAACAATGCGGAAGTCCGTGGCTGTTTCACCATAGTCCAGCGTCTTGGCTTCGGCTATCATGGATGGAGAAGAGTCGACCCCTAGCACGTAGCTAACTGCGGGAGCAAAACGGGTGGTATATTTTCCATCACCACATCCGATATCTAAAATTCGATCGGTGGGCTTAAAGGGTATGCTCTGGACGAGTGTGTCGGCAAAGTGGGGGACGAAAGATGCCGCAGCTTCGTAAGTCTGGTATAGCTCAGCGTATATAAACCAAGCACGGATTTGGGGCCACGAACCTCACTGGACCAATAGTCCTTCTGGTCGGCCTGTGTCTGAATCATGTTGAAAGATAGTGGAAGGCTTATTAGGGGTAGTAAGTTGCAAGACCAGAGGGGAACAATGTGCAGCATGGTTTAAATAAATAAAACCCACTACATCTCAAGTACAGAACATTGCTTGCACTTACGCTAGTAGGATTGGCCTCGGGTAAGATAAGGATCTCACTAGACAGAAGAGATAGACTGTGAAAAGAAGATCATGCTGATCACTGTGGAACACTTCGCTTAGAGATCATGAATAGAACTATTAGAACCACCAGGCTAAGGGTGGTCCTATTGTATTGTGTATCCCGCAGCAAATTATGTCAGGAAATGATACAGTGATAACCACCCCACAGGGATCAGCACAATTTCTTCACAACCTAGCATAGTGTTGGATCTGTAAGACAATGATTATAGGAAGGTCTTTAGCTCCAACACCCAATTATGGCAGCCGAGATGTGGGACTAACCGCAATATCCCAGGCAGAACACGACATACTAGTATCAGCTAGCCACAGAGCGTGTGGGGCATAAAAACAAACTAGTAAGTCAGTCTGCACGATAGCCGAGCCCAGCGCCTTGGGTAAATGACTCAGTATTACTAGCGTACGGAGTACGCGCCAGGATTTTGGGCGCATTTCTCCGTGGATCGAACAAAGGTATGTAGTTCATACATTTTCTTCAGCTGTGTGTGACAGTGACTCTACGGTGATATGTCAACATTTGGTAGAAAAAAAGCGTCTCCCAGAAATCTCGGAGCAAGCATGTTCACGACCGTAGTTAATCCCCCCCCCGTTGTGCGTTCTTTTTTTTTTTTTTTTCAGTTTCGTCTGGGCACTTAATCAGACCGAGAGTATGATGATTCCAGCACGCCTTGTTCGTACCTACAGAGTACTAACAGGTCCCCTTGCAGAGAATGCTTCAACTCCACATTTCGTAGGGACTACGATAGTATCAATGATCAGTATTCAATCTAGGATCTGCCCCTTCGTTTTGATCGATTCCCGAGTTCTTGCTAGGTGGCTTATCTTTACCACGTTCAAAAATTAGGTTATATACTCCGTAAAGGACGGTACTGCGGTAGGGCACGGAAAGACCATGTGTGGACCTCTGTGGAGCGGCTTGCTTACAAAACGTGAGTGGAACTGACTATCAGAACCACTGTGGCAAAAGGTGGTCCTAGTATCATATTTCACACAGCCTTTCTGTACCCTGCCACAGTATTCCTGGCTGGCTGACGCGGTATGGATGCTCCACCGGCCTATTAGGCTGATAGGCCATTAACGATCTAGGAGACACCATACACATACAGGCTATGTTAATTTGCTCTTTAACCATGGAGGTTACGAGCCATGACAGGATTCTTCATTTATCAACACATTCCGCCATTAACTGTGGCCAGGACTGGTATCTACATTCAGCGATGTATCTGTAGGTACAATACTTATTGTAATGAAGCAGTGTGCAAAGACTAATTTCCCGGGTCCGCTTTGCTTCCATGGGGATTGCCGTTTCAACAAACTGAAATCTTCAGCTAGCGGGTCTTAGTCCGAGTCTTCAGCTAAGACATGTCATGGAACATCGTGTGGATAGACTATATTTGCAAAACAAGTCGAGATAGTAACACTTCCGGGGGTACAGGATATATATAATGGCCTAGCTCACGTCCTGCACCGTCCAATATTGCAAACTCTATAATATCAACATTTGTCAACATGACCATCGAAATAACGTCCTACAAGCCAACCCCAGGGGGACTCACCTCACTCCACTCCACGTTACAAGAAGCAATTTTGCAATACTCAGAAGATACATCAGAGTCAAAGAGCAGGGTGTCTCTGAAACAGATCGAGGTTACCTCGCAAAGGCTGGCACAACGCGTCGTGGAGCCAAGACAGGCTTTGATCGCGTTCCATTTCCAACCTTACAAGGTTCTCCGTGTCCGGCTGGTAATCGAGATGGGTCTTTTCGACAATTTACCTACCCGAGCACCCTTCACATTACAAGACTTGAGCAAACATGCAGGGACAGGCCCGGAATTTACTGGCCGTATTGTACGGGCTCTCGCGACATTGGATATGTTCGAAGAGGCGGGCGAAGGAGCCTTCAGATACGCCGCATTATCCCGGGAATGGACCAATAAGTTCATGCAATCATACACTCGGCATTCCTGGGACAGTGTCATTAAATCGATGTCCCTATACGTTGATTTCTTCAACACCACGGGTTTCATGGGCTCCTCCGACAAGATGAACTCACCATACGCATTTTCAAAGGGAGCCAAGGACATCAACATTTTCAATCTACTACAGCAGGATCCCAAAGCCGCCAAAACTTTCAATGAAGCCATGACAAGTTTCAGGGACCCTTTAAGGGAAATTATATGACTTCAGCAGCCTAAAGCCCGGGGAGGATGGGGTATTTCTGGTCGATATTGGCGGAGGCAACAGCAAAAGTATGCAATATAGAATCTCCCCATACCCCCATTATCAAGGGCCGATTCATCCTCCAAGGCCTTCCAGCCGTCACCACGGTGGGTGATGTAGTATGCACTTCCCAGGTCAAGGTACAGCCATACAACTTCTTCGAACAGGTGTAGCCGATCAAAGGTGAGGAGACAGCTTGGAGAATGAGTTACAGCCCGCCACTAGTAATGGTTACTATTTAGGCACCGCTGCATATCTCCTTAAGCTAATACTACATGACTGGCAAGACGATGAGTGCTGAAGAATCCTCCGGAGCCTAGCACCAGCGATGAGAGGCCACAATTCGAAGCTCTTGATTTGCGACATTGTCTTGGCAGACTCGCAGCCAGACTTACAAAAGGTTCTTTATGATAATAACATGACATTCATGGCGGGCAAAGAACGGAGTATGAAGCCCTGGCCGCCTTCTTTATTATTATAGAAGGACTCAAGTTCCATATGGAGAATAAAGCTCGCGTGCAAGACCTAATTCGTTACCGACATATTTCTAAAGGTACCAAAGAGAGTCTTCACATTCAAGCTGTCCATCGCGTATCTACAATAAGCCCATGCTATTTATAGTCACTTTGAACAGCCGTAGAGTGCCTCAAACGACTTATATCGATGTCATCTGAGTCCCACTCTGCTATCAAATGCTCATTTTAGGAGAAGGTTACTATTTCCGCGCACTTGCGATTTATTACAGGGCAAACTCTATATTCCATCGATGCATCAATCACCCCTTTCTACTACTCTGCTAACACCATTATCGCATGCTAGGATGTCGAGTACAAAACATATCCAAGTGATAAAACCTGCTATCAGCCGTTTGCTTAACGGATGAAGCTCATGGGCATATCCTACTCCATACTACTCTTCAACAATAGCTGGAATCAAGTTGCAATATTCCTTCAGACCGAATACCTGGGGTTATCAATCATGTAACTCTCCAAACAAGAAATACCTAAAGCTTCCTAAAGAGCAGCCTTCTCGAGATTTCCCTGGAAGGTTGAGTCCTTGAACGGGACGGTCGCCTTCCCAAACTCGGCACTCTCAAGCCCCTGTCTCGCAGCCTCGGGAAGAGACTCCCAGGCAATGAGTGGTAGATCACGTCCCAGCGTATTAGTGAACTGCAGCTCGTGGTTGGTTGGGAAGTTGGTGAAGTATTCCACCTTAGGCCTATCGCCCTCCCGCGGTGGGTTGTCCGTCTTCTTGTAGCTGCCGTGACCCGACGCTGCACCTCCCAGCAAGGTTGGGTTATCGTTGGCCGGGTTGTTTACCCAGATAACAACATTCTCCCAGTCGTGGCGGTGCGCACCCGCTGATACACCACTGTTGGGCATGTCCTTTGGCATGTACCATGCGTACATGATACCATACCGGCCATTGTGCCAGCCACCGCGCACGTAGGTCTGCCCTTTACTTTGGTCGCGACACCCGCCTGTTGCGCTACCGGTGTCTTGAAGACCTCCACTATACAACAGATGTTAGCAATTGTGCATCTTTCATCTTGCTTATAATAGTGCACTTGAAATTTGTGCTATGCGACGTAATGTTGACGACTTGCCTCACATCACCGTTGGCGGCAACGGCCGGGTAGGATTGACAGCCATGTGCAATGTGTAGATATGGCTCGAACTTCTTATACGCGTTTCCAGTGGCAGAATTGGGGACGGTCTCGGGAAATGGTGTGATCGAGTCATGGTTCACGACTGCGCGCTTTTCCATGGGGCTGCCTTGCACGGCGATGGCAGCAGCCAGAATGGCGAAGATGTTCTTGGAAACCATCTTGATAGATTGGGAGGATTTCTTTCTTGGTTGCGTGAAGACACCGGTTTGATTCTCTGTGTCTAGAGTGAAATATGGAAGGAGTACTCGCTTATATGTCTTTTCTACTGACGTCGGCTTCTTATATAAAAGGCAATTAATTACCGACGTCCGCCAAGAGGCGTCAGGCAAGGAAGGATCATGCCCAAGATGCTACTAAATTGCTACGGGTGACAGCATCTCCGAATGCCGACTGCAGCAAAGGATCCACCATGGTTGCATGCCTCCTAGCAGATCCTTCCCGCAGTGTAGCCTAATGACGATATTCAATCACTATCAGTCTCAGTCACTACCGGACTTTCGGCAGGACGAGTAGATTAAACCCCGAGACCCTTCCAACCAAGGGTTCTACTCGGCCTAATGTACTGTAGTCCGCATCTAGGGATCCTCCCATTACACCCATTTACAGGCAATGCACCTCACCAGATGGAACCTAGCGATATTGATTTGAAACCAGGTAACGGCATGAGCATATGCAGGTACCCCCAATCAATGTCGGAACCGGAAGTAGCCAAAGCCAGTTCATCCGTATCAACCGTTGGCTCCACTCGAGTTTGAGGGGCTTAGATTGAGAGACTATACCCTATGACACGTGGGGACTCCAATTGATTCCAAACGCTGAACATAGTATCCCAATCGTGCATTGCTGCGCCACTGCTAGTGGTGATCAAGTTTCCCGAATTGGTCAAGGCCCTGTCTGCAGAATGATTATAAATCATTTAACTCTAGGCGCATTGGTTCCATTGCTTCCTTCGATGAATGCGGGAACCTGTATATCCGATGAATGTAACAGGCTTTAGTTAATTCTGCGGAGCCATAGCAATGAATGTACGCCGGCAAGCTTTGTGCATGGTTCAGATATAATGCCGGTAAATCTTTACTGGTAACAATACGGTGACTGGGATCCCATCCATGGTGAGAAAAGCAACCTCAATTCAAAGGCCTGACTCTTCAGGGCTTATCTTCGGCGAAACATCGGGAGAAGGTCTAATCTGATTGCCATGGCGGGGACTGTGCAGATCCACTCGTCGATCCTTCGTGTGTGGGAACTGGGTTCAATCTATATGTACAATGTCTGAGTGGGCCTACTGTGATTGGAGCTTGTATCCTGAAGGATGTCGTGCTGTTTGAGAATACTCTTCAACCTTGCCCTAACAGCCATACCCACCGGATGCGCAGAAGGATATCCGGCAGCAACGGGGACTTGGTTCCGGAGACGATCGGCCATCGAGGATGTTCCTTAACTTCCGAGTCCGTACTTTTCCTGTCGTCAAGCTCCGTAGGGTTTATGTGCAGAGAGCTGTATCGCACATCTCGCCGCGTTCTATGCTGAAGCCTTATGATCATATGTGGAAAATTGTCTCCAGCCACTGTAGGTGAGTTCTGTTTCAATGTAACAATGTGATGCATGTACCTGCTCGGATCAAGCTGTTGCCAGATTTGGCTTATGCTTTTTATGTTCGTTTATGCTCAGTGTGGGATGATCGCGTTGCACCACAGCTCAAGCCTCGTGGAGTCCATCATCATCAGCATCAGTCAAGTTCACTCTCGGTCAGAGGGAAGATCAGGGATAAGGCAACGCGGTTCGACTGGAATGGACCGGAATTGCCGCTTAATGCCTTCATGTTCTTAATCGAGCTATTCAATTCAGAAACCGGTTCTCCGCTTCCTAGAAAATGATTTGAGTCGTCGTCACATCGCGTTATAACATGAGACGGATCATGATGTGAAATTGCTTCAGTGGGCGATCACAACTACCATAAGCTCTATAAGATTGTTTGTATATTGAATGTTGCTCGTCCAATATTCTTTAGTAATATGTTTCATACTCGCTATAGATATCCTGCGAGCAGGTTTGGTCCGTCTCATACAAGCTTCACCGTAATAGTGTATGGCATAATACAGTGCTAGCCTTTCCCACACAGGAGGTTCAGGTCCAGACTTTCTTTATATCATTATGGTATAAGAGGATCGGCGTCACATCCTATTTACCCACTGCAAGAGATGTGCTGCGGAAAAGGTCCATAGCCGTATCATTTAGCAATACATCCCAGTCGTCACTAACAGAGGGCCAGAATGACCCTTATTCACTATCAATACCCTTATACTCGAAGAATTTGGCAAACTCCTTATCATTAATCAGGTCCCGAGCCAGCTCCTTCTCATACATGAGAGCAAACATATTACCTTCATCCGAGTCCGGATTGTCATCGAGCTTGGGAGGGTACACGAGGTGCACACCAACGGTGACACCTGCCCCCTGCTGCAAGTGACGATGGCACAGCGGGCGGGCGAACCCAAAGTCTGCATTGGTGACTCGAGCATCACGGTGGTCCGTGGTAATGATGGACATGGGTGGCTTGGAGTTAATGCGGATGTTGAGATTCGTCTTGTCCTTAATGTGCGAGATCGCGGTCAGTGCAGTATCCAGGTTCTCTTGTGTTTGAGTATTGGTAATTTTGCGAATGTAGGCCGCCAATTCCCAGAGCGGCTTGTCTGAGATGACATCGCCGTGAGTGAGCGGCGGGAAAGGTGCCTGGTCCGATAGTGCCGCCCAAAGAACATTGTGCTGGACGTGCGGATGCACAGGGGGGTTCTTCATCCGGCGGCGCATATCCACGGCCTCACACCAGAACATTGGGGTGGTGAGAGGTATCCCAAAGACAGGTTGACGTAGACGTGTGGTGGTACGCCATATGAAGGCGGCAAAAGCGTCGTACGTTGAGATCCACGTTCCATCCTGAGGTGTCGCGAGTCTCTTTAGCTCAGTAGCCTTGCTCTTGGGGAGGTGAAAAAGGAGGCACTGTCCAGGCCTCTGATCCGGGTGCTGCTGCGGCGCAGGGGGTCCGTCAACCAGCTGCTCCACGGGCGGATCCGGCTTGGAGACAATGGAGACATCATTGCAGGCCGGGTCCCACGTTGGGAACGGGGTCTGCTTCTCCACGGCGTAGCAGTTGTCCGCAAGCTGCTGCACAAATCCCCTCCAGCCCATGACATCGTTGGCATAATGGTGCATGTGGGAGATTAGGACAAGTCCCCCATGAACCACGTTGAGTAAGAAGGCTGAGGTAACCGGAGAAGTATCCGGGTGCGCTTCGGGCTTCTCACCGTATGTCATAGGCTCGATGCTCCAATATTTGAAATCACCCAGCGTAATTCCAGCAAAGCTCGAACTTTCCATGTCGTCCAGCGAGGGGAATCGATCCGCATCGCTCGCCGCGTCCAGCCACTGGATAACAAACTGCACCGTGCTCTCCTTCCGCTTCACAAAGGAATGACCCCCTCCAGAGTCCTTTTCGATGGTGCTGCAAAGGTGGCCAACTTGGCCGAGGGTCCGCTCGAGACCCTCCTTCAACACCGCAGCAGCTTTGGCCTTCCTCCCATCATCCAAGCGAAAGTAGATGGCGAAGTGGGTGTAGCACAGGCCGGTAAGGTAGTCAAGCGTCGAGATTTTATACCGCTCCTCTTGGGGGCTGGATTCCCAGCCGTACGGATGCAAGTGGTGGACTTCCTGATGGACCATCCTGAGAGACACCAAAAACTATGGCTTCGAAAGAAGGATCGTGGTATACCAGCCAGGAAGGAACACGGTGTGCCGGACCAGCGCTCATCCATACTCGTATGGCCCGCCTTAGATAATGCGGGGCTCTCATGCTGCTGCGCCTCGGCACGTTTAATATATGCGAGGACGATACCCAATAGCATCCATATCATTGGTGTCCCCCGGTTGGTTCCTGCGACCGAATGATTCTCACGCGTCAAGTGATTAGGAAGAGCTCTCGGACTCGATATTCAGGGCTTGGCTCCACGTATCTACACGGACAGGGTGCCCATTATATACAGAGTTGGTGAAACATTCACAGACTAACGAAGAATAAAGACAGCGAGATACTTCCGAAACTCCAGCATATATTCTACGCTCAGCATCCCAGTTGACGCAACCGCTAGAGACGTCCCAGCCAGCCACTTATCCAGTGATCAGACCAAAAGTCCCCTTCCCCCGCGTAAGGCGATATCTCCATTTCACGCCTGTGAACTTGGATGTCTCGGAAAGGTTCACTTCGACCTTCTCCGCCACCTGCGGCACCGATGCCGTGACTGCCCTTGTGTTGACCTTGGGTTCGATCCATGTCCCCCGGACGGGACGAACGTCAAATCGCACCAGGATCATTGCCACCAGCGCCAAGATCTCGCCCGATGCGAAATGGCGTCCGGGGCAAATATGTGGGGATGAACCAAAGGACATGAATCCAGATGCCTTTGATCGCTTTTCGACCGGGTCAACCTTGCTAAACCGGTCTGGTTCATATGTATCGGCGTCCGAGCCCCAGACGGAAGGGTGCTTGTTAATAATTGCTGCGGGCATCAGAAGAATGGACCCGGCCTTCACGAGCACGCGATCATCGAGCAACGTATCTTTGTGAACAACACGCAGCTGCCCGGAATTTGACCGCGTACGGAGAGTCTCTTGGAACGTGGAGACGAGGATCGGACACTTCTCACGGATATCCGCCAGGTCCAAGGTGTGAACGCCCGCCGAATCCACGGACAAGGCACCTGCCAGGATCTCATCTCGGATTTTCTGAAGAAGATCGGGACGAGAGAAGATGTCAAACAGGCAATAGAAAGAGGTTGGGACGGTGTTGGAGAGAATGGCCAGACCCGTAGTCACCTCCAAACGTGCAATGTCCTCGATAGTCGCCCCCCCTTCGTGCTGGACCTTCCATCGACTGTATGCCAATTGCGAGGAATCCAGATGTCCATCCGCTTGGTAGTATTCGATGAAGGCTTGGGTTAGTTGCTCTCTGCCTTTCCACGGTTTGCGTGCGGTGATCCAGGGAAGGGTATTCATCATCAGCAGGCTTAAATTCGATTCCATAGCCCTATACACTGTTTAATTCCAACCGATATCGTGGAGACGCCAAATACTCACCAAAAAGCGCGTCGGTTGCTCTCTGACC